AAATCAACATTGGTTACTTTTTCTGGTTGTCATCATTATTTCCGCCTATGTAGAAAACTCTCTACGAAAGAAGATTTGTTTTGTTTCCCCTGAGTGAGAATAAGACGCACAAAAACATAGCAGAGATGATCAAGCAAATGTTTGAAAACACAAGATTCTATAAATATTTCGTTTGGTAAATTAATGCTTTTATTTGAAAAAATAGGAATGTCAATTAACTTTTTTCTGACTATATATATATATATATATATATATATATATATATATATATATATATATAATTATTTATTATAATTTTTACATACGGACAAAAACAACTTACTCACTACAAAGATGCATTTTTGTTTCGATGCGGATGCATCTCGACTGGTGAGAACCAAAAATGGTTATCCATTAAAAATTAACCACTTTTGGTTCTCACCAGTCGAGATGCAGCTGCATCGAAACAAGAATGCATCTTTGTAGTTAACAAGTTGGTTTTGTTCGTATTTAAAAACTATAATAAATAATTATTGCTCTACTCTTGTTATCGACTCCTCTTTTGAATTAATGCTGTGAACGTTAAAATTTATATTATTTTCGTTTTCATTACATTCGTATATATATATATATATATATATATATATATATATATATATATATATATATATATGAAATATATACGGAAAAAACAAATAAAAAAAATTATATGCAATTAAATAGCATATAAGGATTTTTTTCTTTGTTTTTTCCGTATATATTTTTCTTCATACTGTCGGATCTATATCCATATATTTGCTTACATATATATATATATATATATATATATATATGGGCATAAGTATTCATGGAAACTGGTTTTATTATACTCACCCCAAAAGATTTGCCTGCTTAATTAGATTAAATAGACCTTGTCAACTGAATTTAATAAGACTTGTTTGGATATATATATATATATATATATATATGTGTGTGTGTGTGTGTGTGTGTGTTGTGTGTGTGTGTGTGTGCGCGTGTGTGCGTGTGCGTGTGTGTGTGTTTACACTATTAATACACATAAAGTAACACATATGTCTGTTCATATATATTTGCATATAAACATTAATAACTTGTTTGAAATTATTTTGGTCATCTGAAATTGATTTGATTCACTATTCACTTGTTATTTTCCGATTATTATTTCTGAGAAATTTATTGAATATAATCCTTTAGAGAATTATTTATCATCTGCAATTTCGTCTTTTGCTAAAATATCGATTTTTTCTCTACTTAATTATCTCAGTCTCTGACGCACGAATATAAAAGAAAAATTAATCCAAACAAGTTTAATTAAAATCACCCGAAAGAACCTGTTTAATGATTTTATTGCATTTTCAATCATTCTTTACTGTGAGTATATATATATATATATATATATATATATATATATATATATATATATATATATATATATATATGTATGTATGTATGTATATATACATTTCATTGAATACAACAGACAAGGTGCTTTTATTTAAGTTTTATACAATTTCACATGCGATCTAATAATTTTTTTCTTTTCAGATAATAAATTATATAAAAAATGTCCGAATTTTCTTTTTATCCGAGCGCTTTCGGCTATACATTTACCCATTTTCAAAGATAAAATATGTTAAATAAGAAATAGATCGTTGCATGTCTGTATTTAAGCAATGTTTTCATTTTTCAATAGACGGTCAAGATATTGTGGCCATCTTCATAGTTGATATTATTAAGTGCTGGTTTTTGTTTATTTTTATTAATAAGGCTTCCATTATTTTTAGCCATTTTTTGCATTTAGATGATACTATTATATTTGTGTTTTCAACAAGTATGTTACGAATACAAAAAGGATATATATATATAGTAGGCAGGGGGTTACAGCAAGTGAGAGAAAAGACTGGATGTAGGCGAGATTGAGGAAAGGATAAAAGATGAACGGGATTCAAGGAGATAGAAGATAGCAATTGATGTTGCATTTAAATTTTTCGATATTGTTGTTATCAGGGAAGCAAGTAAATGGAAGAGAGTTCCACGGTCTGGAAGTACGAGAAAAGAAACTGTTGGAGTAGAAGTGACGGTTGCATTTAACTATTTCAACAGTGAGACCTAAATGCCAACTTAGTAGCTCGTTTAAATTCCTGTAGTCAGGGCACCAGGGGGATAAAGCTCGTCAGTTGATATATTTCTAGAAAAGAGAGAAGGAAGCCACCTCATATCAGTGAGTAAGTTACTGAAGTTGAGATGCCAAGTCAGGGTTTATTATCTTGCAGATCCATTTTTGGAGTTTATCAAGAATCTCGAGATGAATAGAAGGAACACCGGACTAGATATAACAATAGTATTCAATGCACGGATAGATTTGTAAATGCGCAAGATGGAATTTGACGAGAAAATCTTTCTGGCACGATATAGTGACCCAACTTTCCTTGCAGTAGATTCAGCTATTGATTCGATGTAGTCGTTTTACTTCAAATCAGTTGAAGGCGCAGTGTATTGCTCTCCATGAGTCTAGTATCAGCCATGCTGATGGCGAACAGAAAAGTTTCTCTATGGTGGTTAAATGAGAGCAGTTTCGTTTTGGAGGCATTAAAAGTTACAAGTCATTTCCTGTCCCAGTTAATCACTATTTGGAACTCATGAAAAGCGGCTAGGTTAACTTTGTCAGCTCCGACGGATTTGCTATTGAGACAGGATTAAATGGTAGCATCATCATCATAAATGCTTACTAGGGAACTAATGACATGATGAAAATCAGAAACAGCGTAGGACCTAGGATAGAGCGTGGGAGAGAGGTCAGAAGGTTCTTCAAAGTTCTTAAAAACAGGAAGGGCTATCAACAAGCTGGAAAGCAAGAAGCAGCGAGGAAATAGTTGTAGAGTTTAGAGATTATCCACTAATATTTGATTTATGTTAATAGTTTTATTTTGGTTGATTCTGAGGTGATGATCGATATATAAAATTTGCACTTAGTTTCCATGTTGCAAGTTAACCTACGAGTGAGTATTGTGTTTGTGTGACCAATGTCAGAAATTAATGTTGCTTTTACAATTTCCCAACGGTCAGGAGAAACTATGAATAACATTGTTTTCACATTGTAATTTTTTTCAGGTCCCTTGTTAGAAGGTAATGATTAGGTTAGATGTTTTACACTTTTCGTAATAAATTATAAATATTGTGTATTTGTTATAATTAAATAGAATTTTGTGGATGTTCAATATCCTTCGGTAAAGAAACTTCTAACTTTAATAATAGTAATAATAATAATGAAGTCAAATATTGTTGAATTGTGGATTTGATATTGGCTTTCGTTATAAAATACATTCTGTATATATATATATATATATATATATATATATATATATATATATATATATATATATATATATATATCAGAAAACGTTAATTGACACTTTTCTCCACCCGAATATTATTCACATCGACAAATATAAGAACACTGAAAAAATTCACAATTCTACAATTGCATGAAATTTCTAAATTCTGATTTCCACAAGATTCTCGCTCATTTCCAATTCAACGAAAGTAAATCTGGAAGCGCACTGACGAATAAGAATTTTCGATATTGTTACACCTGCTATCAGAAATCTTAGTTAATATTAGACTGCGTGTGAAATGAAACATTCTTAAAGTAAAGAAAGGTCAAAATTAATCCATAGATCAGCGTCATTGGAACAGTTATGAAAATGTTTGGGAGGAATTCACTGGACTAATAAGCGCTCGAAGTTTTATGAAGAAAATGAACTAAACCAAAAGTTAGAATGAACAGGTGGAATGTGAATTCTGTTAACACCATTAATCCATTTCACGTTGAACCTATGTTGTTTCTTCTTCCCTGACAGGACAATGAAACATGTTTTTTTTTTCTTCTGTCTTCCTGTTTCAATAGTTATCTTCACAGCCATTAATCTTTCTCACTCTCGTTCTGTCGCATCTTTTTCCTTCACGCATGCGCCTTTTCCAAATTGGTGGACTAAGCATACGCAGCCATAAATGTTCGTCATAAGAGAAAATTTTTTTTTTTAATTAAATGAAGGAAAAGTCTAAAATAAAAAGAAAATAATTTATTCTGATATTGAAGTAAACAAAAATCTTTCTTTCATTTTTTTTAGAATCTGAAATAATTACATGCAGAAAATACTTTTGAATAAAGTTTCCCAAATACAACACAATATTTATCGAGAAATGTGCATTTCATTTCATTTATTTACATTGATAACTTTTCAGGAGTTTTCATTAATTTTAATTTTTTTTCACTGTTGTTAAACCACTATAAATGTGTGTGTGTGTGCGTGTATTTCTTATGTTTATTAAAAGATTTAATGTCGCCATCTTTATTTTAGTATTCTGTTCAGATATAGAAATTTACACCTCGCTGTGATATTCGTTCAGTAAATAAGTAATAACAGCAAAATAAATTCAATTTGAAATCATATTAACAATTTGGCGCTATTTATTTGATGATATAAAAAATAACTTAAGTGATACGAAAGTCATATCTAATTATAAGATATTGTTATTCGTCAATATTTCGTCGTTCTTTCAGTCTGAGATCTTCATTCGCTTTTGCTTATAGTAAGTCGTTCCAAACAAGAAAAACATAAGGATATTAATCTAAAATAAAATCTTAGCATCTTAACAGAATAGCAAAACAGTGTTTATTCGAATATCTTCTTTCCTTGGCCAACATTTTCGGTTTGAAGGTCAGCAAATGAACAACAAAGAAAAAGAACAATTACGTTATCTTGGATTTGAATCTACAAAGTGTGAGACCTTGTTAAACTTTCATGTTAGTGTTTCCTTTTTTATCTGTGTTCGTCTTGTCTGGTTTTCGCACAGCAAGAGCACCTCCTCTCGACTTAGAAAAAACTGGTGTTATATAGCTCTCCCAATTCCAGACTCAAGTTGACTGCCCAGTATCGTTCATATGCAAATAGCCAGTGTCACCTACTCTATGTAGGTCTTCTCTCTTCAATCAACAGCCCATGGTGAAAGGGGGCACAACTCCTGGTGCGTACAGCAGCACATACAACCAAATTGGAGTCTTTTATCGGGCTGACCCGATTCGCTGTTACACTATCTTTATCTTGCCTCCTCTTTCCTTTTCTCTCTCTCTCTCTCTCTCTCTCTCTCTCTCTCTCTCTCTCTCTCTCTCTCCCCATCAATCTATTTGTACATGTATGCAAATTCGTAGGGAGAACCGTCTATTTGTATATGTATGCAAATTTGTAGGGAGAACCGTCTTCATTATATTTTCTCAAGTTTATATGATTTATGTATCTTATTTAACTGCAATGATCAGGTTTTCCACTTCTTATCTATAACCATTAAGCTTCTGTATTTCTTATCTGTAACCATTAAGCTTCTGCACTTCTTATCCATTACGATCAAGCGTCTACATTTCTTATCTATAACCATCTAGATTCTGCACTTCTTATCTGTAACCATCAAGCTTCTGCACTTCTTATATGTTACCATCAATCTTCTGTATTTCTTATCTGTAACCATCAAGATACTGTACTTCTTATCCATTACGATCAAGCTACTACACTTCTTAGCTGTAACCATCAAGCTTCTACACTTCTTATCTGTAACCATCAAGCTTCTGCACTTTTTATCTGTAACCATCAAGCTTCTGTATTTCTTATCTCTAACCATCTAGCTTCTGCACTTCTTATCTCTAACTATCAAGCTTCTGTATTTCTTATCTGTAACCATCAAGCCTCTGCACTTCTTATCTCTAACCATCTAGTAACATCCATTACTCATCCTACGCACTTCTTCTGTCTCTAGCTAACCATCAAGCTTCTGTTTTCTTATCTGTAGTAACCGATCAAGCAATCTATCCATCTAGATTCTGCACTTCAAGCTTCTATTCTGTATTTCTTATCTAACCATCAAGCTACTGTACTTCTTATCCATTACGATCAAGCTTCTACACTTCTTATCTGTAACCATCTAGCTTCTGTATGTCTTCTCTTTAACCATCAAGCTTCTGTATTTCTTATCTGTAGCCATCAAGCTACTGCACTTCTTATCCGTTACCATCAAGCTTCTGCACTTCTTATCTGTAACCATTAAGCAATAAAAAATAAAACTTAATTAAAAAAAAATTCTTCATCTGTATGATGATATCTTCTGCTCCTTACCTCTGATAAACAAACAATATGGCGTGAACCAAAAATCAGATAATTCAGAATGTAGACAAAATCTGAATGACGTCAGCTTTTGAAACTATTGTCCATGCCTACGTGAACACCAATTTCATCGGTAGACATTTTTGATCCATGTTGCTTGCTTGTTGCTGTGTAAATGCAGAAACAAACTGAGCGTTGTAATTTTAAAAAAATGCAATAAGAACAAATAAGATAAGCGAGTGAAAAAAGAGAATAAACATATTACTATATTTACAAACCTGGATAGCTTGAAATACAATTCCAGGTTTTAAAGTTAATTAATTTAATATAAAACTACGAAAACTTAACAGTTCTTCCTTTGAATTTATTAAACTTACGTGTTCTTGTTGGAAAAACGAAACAAAAGCAAAATTTAAAAGCATGAAGCGACACGTCAAAGTTATAGGATGCGCGGTATACTTCAGGAAGGGCGAATATATTCGTTAACAAAACGATGGAGATAAAAGCAATGAATTTAATAGAATATTCTTGCTGGGAAAACTTTCTTTCCTTTTTATCCAATCAATGTGAACTACAGTTGACAAGTAGGACTATTCAGGATAACCTTCATTTTGGTACGCTTATCATTGAGCAAGACGACAGTGAAGACGTGCTGATCAATTTAGATCAGTCCAAGGCATTCGATACCTTTGACCAACTTTTTCTGGAGGCTGTCCGTTCGGCCGCCTGTTTCAGGCCGTACTTTTGCACTTGGATCCTACTTCTTGCCGCCTCCCATACACTAGTGGAAGGGAATGGGGTGCGATCGGAGCTTTCGTGTTCTCACGCTCCATTCGTCAAGGTTATCCGCTTTCGCCTTTGCTTTACGTTCTTGCGTTGAATCTTTTCCTTCGCAAATTAAAGGCTAATCCGGTTCTCGCCGGATCTCCTTACCTGATGTTTCCGCCTCGGCCACGTACTCCGCCTATGGTGATGGAGTTTCGGTTCTTGTGTCAAACACGGTCGAGATTTTCGAAATCGACAAACGAGACGGTGACAAGTGATCAACTCCGATAAGTCTGTTGGCTTACTGTTGGAAGGAAGTTTCTATTCCCGAGCCTTTCCTGTCAAGATATTCTTGCTGGAAATGAATTGATCGGAGGTGCAGGAGAAGGTCGAGGGCGCAGTTAGTCTGTGGTCCCGGGGGAAATCTTTTCTTAATGAGGAAGGCGGAAATATGTCCGCATAGCTACCCAATTCTCCTTTATCGACTCTTCGTGCTTCCACTCCCGTATGCTATACCAATGCCATTAGTTAGAGTCTTGATCTCCTTATTGTGGAGAAGAAAGGCTCCTAATGTATATAGGGAGATCTGTTGTCTCCACCCTTCTGAAGGCGGTCTGGGTATGCCTAGCTTTGTGATTCAATATACGCTTCGCATCGCATTCATAAACCGAATGTTTGCAAGCGGATGGGATTGGTAAATTCTGGAAGGAAGACGCCACTAAGCGCTTCCTGTCTCTAAGATGTGTGCATTTGTGCGAGGTGTGTTTACCCCGAGGTGTGTGCTTCTTCTATCTTGAATGTCTAGTCGTTGTCCTATAAGGTGCTAGTGTTCATAATGACGGTCGTCTTCGAGTATAGAATCCAGAGGTGAGCAGTGAATATTTCGAAGACAATAGGAAAGCGTTGTTCAGGTTAGCAGTGGATATTTCGATAAAAGTAGCAGAGCATAGTTTGTTCTTCTGGTTCTCTTCGCCTGACAAGCTAGACTGGACATTCGGGTAGAGTGAACAAAATGGCCGCCTTTATACACGACGGATTGAATGTTCTACGTCTTCTGGAGTTGGTTTTGACTTCACTATTGTAACAGGACTATAAATTTAATGGCAGGAATTCTATCCATCAGAAATTTAACGATGAGGCAAAAGATGAATGAGTCTTTCCTCGCGCGTATCTGGAAAGTTCAAATGAAAATGCGGACAAAGGCTGAATATTATGTGTGTGGCATTTGATGCCTGTTAGGCTATTCATGGTGATTTTTACTGGTCTACCTAAACGATCCCATTATTAAACAGGACGGAAAGACGATGATTGAATTTAGCAAAAGATGAACCCCATCTGTCAAATGAAAATAATTAATTTTGATGCCTTTAGGCTCCCATTATTAAACATTGACTTTTTTTTTTTTTTTTTTTAGTTATGCCAAGTTAACTTATCTAGGAGATGTATACTCATTGACCCCTTTTATTTTTCCACACGTTCTTTAGTTTAATTCCCCATCCATTCCCCCGTTAGGTGACCAGAAATGTTAGTTCTCTGGTAGATATGGGACACTTATCGTCTTTTGAGTGTGACCTTTCGGGATTTTTGTCATGTCTGAATGAGTGTGTAGTTGTGTGCGTGGTTGGTCGAATGATTGTTTTTTTTTTTTAATACAGCCAAGTCCCGCATTAATTCCGCCCAGTTAACTGATATTTCTGCCACAATTAAAGATTGTGGGTCAGCAGTGGTGGTGGAGGGGTATTATTAACAGCATTTTTTTTTAGTTTCTTGTATATATAGTATCATGCATATTATAAATATTCATTGGGTGTTTTCATTTTTAAATGTTGTTATTCTATTCCCCACCTCCACAGACAAATTCTACATGTGGGGACTAGTTTCGCCCCAGCCCCTCAACCTCCGACGTCTTACTCTCTGGGTTGAGGTGTCTCCTCGGTCCTAACCGAACTTAAGGGAGTGGCCATAGGTCCCCTGAGCATCCATAGATTATTCGACCAGTCTACTGGTTTAATCCTGCTTCCTGCTTACATTGTGTTTGGTTTGATCCAGAAAGCAGAAGTGATGTTCATCCATTCACGGTCGACTGAAGATGTAGACACGGTTGGAGAGTCTGTGCTAAGAAATTTAGAATGCAGCAAAAAAAAAAATTATCTGTAGAAAGCCGGACAAACAACTATTCAATGATTGGATTGTTAATGTCTTTTATATAGCAGAAAAGAATAGTATAGAAAAGAAACGGGTTACAGAAAAGTAATTGACGTAAAAACGCGTACACAGGATTCTGTACAGAGAGAGTGTGTTAAGATTAACTTGTTGTTAAATCGTCTCAGAACGATATACGACTCTTGCGATGGGGGAATAAGATTTCTGTGTGCGGCTTAAAGTTTATAGTGCGGCTCCTCCTTAGCAGTAGTAACAGTAGTAGTAGCAAAAACAGCACATGTTAGCGGACGATTCGTTCCAATCTCTGACGTTACGTTCTCTTCTTCTTAAGTCTCTCTCTTCCGTCTCAACACTCTCCCGTCTCTACGCTCGCCCGGGCCAATTCTCTCTCTCTTCTCTCTTCAAGAAATTTCTCCCATCTGTCATTTTTAGCATAACTACGCGTTTATATAGAAAAATCCGGCTGGTCACAACTAAACCTTCGTCGCACGTTATTATCACGGTGTTTTGGCTATTTCAACCAAAATCATGTGAGTTGTAAAGGTCCTTCTAGCTTACTCAGCTCTTTTTCAATTTTTAATCGATAAAAATTATTTCGGCCATTGCCATTGTCTTCTGATGACCCAGATTCAATGGGTACAACTTCTGACCTAGATCAAATTTCTACATCAGTAAAGAAAATGCTCTGATCTAATTTCGCTGTTCAAATCTACCCAATTTCACTAAAAAAAACAACAAATATGTGTGTGTGTGTGTGTGTGTGTGTGTGTGTGTGTGTGTGTGTGTGTGTTTCCCAGACTCTCTCTGTCACACTATATAGGACTTCATAGAGATTGTGAGGTATTACGGTGGTTGCTGTAATAATGTTAAGTTTGGTATTTTGACGCATTTCTTGCACTTGTGCCACATTTTTTGTATTTACACAAAAATAAATGTTAATCAGTTGGAGTCAGTCGAGGATAATTTCTAATAGCATCATGGCGAGTAGCTTAGGTGAAAGATAATATTATAATCGCTAAGAGCGAGTTATAACCTGTTTATGCCAGTTTCATGCAATTTCCTTCCCGTAAAAGTTGCATATTTTTCAGTGTAGATTAAGCCGTGTTTTCATAT